TTATTACGAATATTGCCGGCAGTGGCGGTTCGCCCATATGGGCAAGGTGGGCACCGCCACCCTGAAGAAAAAATTAGAAAATAAAAAATATTTTTTTCTACAACTGTCAAAAAATGATGATGTTCGCACACTCATGACAGTTTGCGAAGTGACACTTTTTTTCCCAGGTATTGATTTTTTAACGTTCCCATGACGCCGTGCGCGAACTAGCTATTTCGCGCACACGTGCGCGAAATAGCTCGTTCGCACACTGGGTGTCATGGTGACACATACCAGTCAGGAAATCAAAAATAATTAAAATTTACCTACCTTGGATTGAAAATGCAATTTTGGCTTCGAATGATTGATATTTAAATGGAGTTGTAGAAAAAATATTGTTTGCAACTCGGGCGCGAATTATTTTGGTGATCGAGATCTGATTTTTTTAACGAGGCGCAGCCGAGTTAAAAAAATAGTCGAGCATTTCGCGCCCTTGATACAAAAATAACTATTATTTTCTAATTTTTTCTCCAAAATGGCATTTCGCGCACTAGTTACAAAAATAACTATTAATACAATATTTGAAAAGGCCGTGACCTTGAAAATTTTAACAAATTATGCCCACGGCTGTTTTTTATTTTTGTCGCCCACCCTCACTTAGACACCACGAGCCGCCACTGATTGCCGGAACTATTAGAAATATACCTACTTCATCGTTGACGCCAAAGATTGTGGTTGAAAATTTTTCAAATAATCCTCTTCTCCTTCTTTGGTGATAGACGCTGTTGAGAGTGTCATATTGTCTACTTGGCTTCCATTTTTTGAGTGTACTATTTCCATGCGGAAAATTTCTCGATCGATTGTAGATGATCCGATATACTCTACATATATTCCATGTTGAGGTAAATTCTGTGGAAATTCTGAATCTGCTTTCTGCCGTGATATAGGAAATTAGCATACGGAAGGCTAGTAGGAGATGTATTAACTGCAATTTGGACGATGTCTGGGTGTTTCTAGTTATTGGCGTTAGATCACTTGTTAAAGCTGTCAGGTTTTTTTTTTTTCTGTTGAAAGCGGAATTAATTTACGAATCGGCCTTTTTGTCATGGTGATGCCTGCTTCTTTCTTTATTGTAACTATCGCCCTTTCCTGGGTGGATTTCAGCGTTTCGTGCCAGCGGCCATTGATTCGGATTCACGTTTTTATGGTGTTCACTCGTAAGTTTTCACTTTGGCTTTTCCATGCTGTAGTCTTGCAAGGTATTCTGTACACCAAGCATGCCAGAGGTTTTTCTTTATTTTTTGGATGAGTGTCCATCTTTGGGATAAGCTGCTGATCTCTGTATGGTCCAGCTCTTGTGGCGGTGAAGAATTTTGTTTTTTGGTGCAACTTCCTTTCACCTTCAAGTTCATTTGAAAGATGGCTCCTACTAGTCTATGGTCACTGGCTGTGTCAAACCTATTAAGTAATTAGTTTCTAATACGATTCTGCAATGTTTTTTTGTTGGTAAGAATAAAATCAATCTTATTTTTTGTGTCAACATCATGTCCATCTTCTTTGGGGTTGTTTGATATACTTATATATGATTCTTTTTTCTGAATTTTTTGTTCACTTTTAAAATGATGTATACAAAACTCGATTAGAAATTGAATGCATTTTTGTTACTTCATGTTTCATTTTCAGGATAGCAGTTTCTCGCAATGAAGAATGTGTATCTATAACAAGTGACCAGATTAAGGATGGGTAGCTTCTTGTACTTTCATCCTTGTTTCGCAGAGTCCTAGGACATTCCATTTAATGTTCTCTATAGTTCGTATTCTAAGTATGCCCTATCTGCTTTATTACACATTGTTCTTATAAGATGTAAGTTTGATTTAGTGTTTTTTATTTTCGTAATTTTGGTTGTTAGTAGATTTCTTGAGATAAATTGAAATACTCAAAGGAGTTGAAGGATGTGGCCTGACTCTCCCCCAGGAAAGTGAATTAGGAAAAAGAGTCAGTGCTAACGTGTGCAGGGGAGCTTCCCTGAAGTAGACCTATCTTCACGATGATCATGAAGAATATCTTTACGCGTTATTAGCAATCTGCTTTTAGCTCGTATATGTCATGCTTATTGATAGACTTTGGTAGGTATATCCGATTACTAGAATTTTTGCCATTGATGGTACATTTAACCTTGATGGAATAGTCTAGTGAAGCAAATCGACGTTTAAAGGAGAGAATTGTCTAGACAACTATAATGAATTAAAGTTGATTTTTTAGATTGGACAATATCTTGGATTGAATATTTCATTATCGGCATTAATTTCACGTCTAAAAGTATCAGCAATTGCTTATCTATGTGTAAAAGCTTAAAATCCATGCAATAGAAAGTTTGTGAGTTTTCAATACAAAGAATTTTAAAAGTATCAAAATCTTATCTTATTGAGAAACATGAATTTTCTGTTATTATTATCTATTAAACCTTTCTTAAACGACGGTTTGAAAAATGAAAGTATAACGGATTTCAATAGGATGTATACATATCGTTGGAAAGGGAATTTTGTCCACTACATTACTCCCATTCGCATTTTTTCATATAACCAATTTGTATATTTGGGAATGGAATAAGGGACTTGGCAAAAGGATATCCCGGGGCTTTAACTGACGGATCTCAGCCCTAATGGTATCTCTGTGACAAATATTAGCTCCCTATAATTTGTTTCAGGTTCATGTAGCTATTTTTTTGCAAAAAGATATATTAATTCCCATTTGATATTATGACAAAGATTGAGAGAGGAAAAGGAATACCAGAGGTAAAAACTTTTATAAGCTCGGAAATTCTCCTTGTTGTCTCCTGAGTACCTATGTGCTAGAATTACGGAAAGGTAGTGTATCAAGAAATCGGCCTAATTCGCGAATTACCAAACACACATCTCACATTTTTGATCAGAAAGAAAAGTTTTGATTGAAAGTGATTGAATTTCTCAAAAATAAGTCACTTCGATACTTTGATCCAGTAATGACCGGTAATGACATAAAAAGTGCGATGAGATGGCATGATGGGAGTGGATTCGGGTGGAAAAACTCGAACGTATCTTACCAGTTTTTCCAAAAAGAACCCATCCCCCATCCCGAAACAGTTTTGATGGCTTTTTTCCATCCTCGTTATTAAATCAAGGATACTGCTGTTTACTCAACTTGAATTTCGAATAACATACCTACTTTAAAAATAGTTTTAATTCTTATGTGCCCGACTGGACTTGTTCTGAAGATAAGTTTCATTGATATGGGAGTACCATCCACCATGAAACACTCAATATGTATTCTAGTATAATTATACTAGTACTTGTATCTTGTACCACAAAGCAAATGTAATGATATAGGAATTCCCATAGAGAAATATAATAAACCAAGGTAAGAGTACCTGATTGATAACATGAAAGTTTGTATAGCGCTGACGTCACAGCGACGGTGGCGTCAATAGTGGCAGCCGGAACAAATACTGAAATGGCGGGAATTTTGAAGTTTGACTTGAGTTGATTGCACAAAAAACTTACTTATGTTGTTCCACATCTTTTTTTTTCAAATCCGAATGAGAAAAATGATGTGGTACTCCATAAAGTTTTGTGCCATTTTTTGATGTAGATTAAAAAAAAAGGCAAAATAAACACTAAATTGTACTAGAAAAAATATATATTATAGCTAGATAGGTCAAATACCTAAAGAGTTTACAAACACAGTTATTACATCCCTTAGACATGCTTTAATGTATGTACAAGCTAAGCTGGCCAAGGCCTAACATCTACATTTTATCTCTTCTGACTGAGGTCTCCTAAACAGTAAAAAAATATGCCGTATATCACAAAACTAATATGTATACTTACTGGCTCAGTTTATCCTAGTTGTATGTACATAATATTATAGGTACGCGATACCGAGTGCCTTAATAAAAATGACAATTTCTTCTTCTTGTTCTTTAGATTTTGTGAGTTCGAGTCTTCTTAGACGACCGCCCAATCGGTTAAAAATGACAAATTTCAACACGGAAATGTCGTTATTTTAAGGTTACTTATTTGTTTTCACAGAGTTTTCTCGGTCACAGTTTCTATAGTTATGGATGTTTGATAGGTTTCTACAAAACAGCTAGGAAAGCTCTGTAACTCATACGGTGTCCTTGTCTTGTGAATTGGTATGAAAGAGAAAGATGAAACAGAATCGAATGATCGGACTGATCCTTCGTAAGTCTCTAGCTTTCCAAAAATTCCGCAATGCGCTATGCGCAACCGGATGCGCAGTAATAGTATAACCTATTTCGGCTATACTTTTTAAGGTCTTTTTATTTTTTATTGTCTATGGGAATTCCCTTTGCGATTCACACGTTTGTAGGTAAAGCCAGTTCATAAATTCACTCTGACTGGTATGTGATTATTGCAGGAACAGACCTATTGATAGAATGGCAGGAGTTCGTTTTTGTCATCTTTTTCGTCAATTTCCTCCGAAATTTTGACAGGCACGTGACTGGATAAGACTATTTCAAGTTACAAATCACGTGCCTGTCAAAATTTCGGAGGAAATCGACGAAAAAGATGACAAAAACGAACTCAATTCTATCAATAGGTCTGTTCCTGCAATAATCACAAACCAGTCAGAGTGAATTTCATTGGTTGAAACTAGTTTTCTTAAATGTTTTCAACCAATGAAATTCGCGCTGACTGACTTGTGATTTCTGCAGAAACAGACCTAATGTAAAACCACATTAATTTATCTCTGACATTCATCATAAAAAAAATGTCAAAATTACTGTTTACTTATAAATATCTTAAAATATATCCAGCAATCCAATCATGAACATATTGGTACATTTGAAAAGAATCTGACTAACGCTTCCTACCAATAGGTAAATCTAATATAAATGTGTTACTATCAATCACCAAAAACAGGCTGGGTAAACCATAAGCGCATTTACGTCTGGGCAAATGGAGAATTCGATAGAGATAGCAGTTCCCTGTACTTCCATTCACAAATGTATTGGTAATATTAACTTTATATCCAATTTTGTCCTAGAAACGTACCAATTTTAGATCATGGAACAATATTCTTGCTACAATTACTAATAGATTAAGACCTCAATTTGGGCCAGTCAAAACATTAGTTGATGTTGAAAACAGAAGGGTTGTTGACTGCTTTGAAGATTTAGAACATGATGGAAAATATGTCGCTGTTGGTAACGACTATTCCCAACAGTGTAACTACGGGTCAGTACCTATACATTTTTTTACATGCTTTGTCATTATTAAAAGCACACGAGGCTGATTTATATAATAATTCAATTTTTCAATAAAATACAGATTTTTGTTTTATAAGTATTTCAACATTGTTTGATGTTCCAATAGCCAAATAAATCATTCAGTAGATAATAATATTACACTCAGGTGCATTTCGAATAAATAAATTCTCGTACAGTATTATTCAATGCCAATCGATCTGGAAATAGAATTGTGCATAAATGTTTTAAATTCAAACGCTTAACATATTTATGGATTTTTGAAAGTTCAAATGAACTGTTTCCTTAAACTGAAATTTGTTGTAGTGCCAATGCAATATGCAAAATTATTTCAGTTATAAAACTCTCCAAGAAAGGACCGTAATGAGTAATAATCCACTAGAACAACTTGTAGCTCAAAATTATTGTGCTTTACCCAGGCACTACCAGCAACCTTCGTACGTTTCCGGTATATGTCAATTGGGGCAACCACCATGTATTTCTCGAATGGGACAAAGCATGCCTATGAGCGGCAGTGATACAAAAATCATGATATTCGTGTTGGCCAATGGACAAACACGACAAATGCCTTGCAAAGTTGTTTTCAGCGAGTCCGATTATACATCTTGGAAGTTAATCTTGAACCTTATCGCTAAGAATTTGGATATTTGTTGCGGTATAGGATAGTAAGTAACAAATATTATTTTGGTATTATTTAGTTGATAGATACGTATTGAGGTCATGACAATCACAAGAGTTTAATAATGGGCACTAAACAGAAATTTATCTACGACTGTTAAAGCTTGCCATCATTTTATTGGTTACTTTAATCTTCATAGTTTTACGATTTGACTCTTGCTGTTAGTAAAAAGCAATTTTTCACATTACGACAACTCAAATAAACTTTATTTTCATGCCATACGGTTTTATCTCCCATCTTGAACAAACTAAAAACTTCATAATCTGCATAAGCTTTTTTAAAAAAAAATCGGTAATATTATTACAGCTCGAACAAATTTGAAACTTCATTTTGAAAGTTACATACGATATCGTTATCGTATAAAGCAGTGGAAAGTTTTTCCTTGTGGGAAAATCCTTATACAAACATAACACTCCCATCTTCCTAGGTTTCGAAATAGGGAAATTTGATATTTATCTAATGTACAGCGATGTCAAGTTGCATAAATTAATTCACATATTTGCATTTATCAGTTTATTTAGCACTGATGGAAAACCAATCATCAATCCAAAGTTACTTCAGAGTGGCAATATTTACGTAGCTGTACCAGTAAACGATAATTTTATATGTTTGGATTATGTCAGAATTTTTAGAAGTCTTTTACCCATGAGAGAGTAAGAAAAGAATATTTAATTCTATTTATAATAATAAATAAACAAAATAAATACTTTAGAGTTAACCTTGGTGGAATGGACATGTTCCAAGACTTGCCATACCAAATCAATCATCCTATAGTATTTCGTATTAACCGGCACGATGTAATGGGGGGCAGATCTAAATCAGATCCACTATCTACAATGAATCACTATATTCATGAAATATGTGATAAAAGAAGATTTGATCATTTTCCAGAAGGTCTGAGAATATTATTTATTTGATTAACCCGGAATCATATATATATTTTTTCTTTTGCAGATTTTCGTGCCGCAGGTATTCTACCTGAAAATCAACCATACTGTACAAGGACTTCAGGTAAGAAATTGATCTAATAATTAGTTGATTCTCTATGAGGATTCGTACCTAAGTAGATTTGCCTACTCTTACAAAATTAATTCACCTTTATTCAAGACAATAATACAAAAAATTACTACGGAACTATCACTATGATAATACTTATCGCTATCTACAATCAATTTAACTGGTCGCAAAACACGTGTGTGAAGACAGCAGACAGTGGCGCATCCAGAGTGTGGGTCTGGGGGGGGGGGGGGGGGGGGGGGTAAACAAAAATCCGATACACGCGCTTACTTACCGCCGCGCCGGAGGCAGCTTGTCGCAGGCTCCCCGAAAATTTTTTGAAAATTATTACCTTCCAAAAATCGATGTTGAGAAAACATCGATGTTTTGCTACCAATATTTTCTTAACATCGATATCAGCTTTCGATGTTTTATCGATACCGAAACATCGATTTTATCAGTTGGATGGGCATCTCTAGTTGTTAAATGTGTGGTAGGTAAGGGCCGAATTAATAGTTGTTCCTTGGGTCTTCCTTGAAGGTCGTGAATTAAGAGTGGACACTTGCTAATATATGACAAGTTAGTCATATATCAATTCTGAACGTTCAAGGCCTCCTTGAGATCTGAGGATTCTGAGGAAATCTAAAGGAGCAATTATAAATTCTGCCCTAAGGGCCGGTTTCTCAATAGCAAGTCACCCCCAGGTTAAGCATAACTCCATTGAAACTGGACACGTGAGGGCAGGTTTCTCATAGAGAGATATCGGTAAAACAGATAGCGCGTATGGACGGTAATAACGTCAAGAGTTATTTTTTTAAAGTAAAGCGGTATCATACTTTCAAATTAGAGTTATCGGAAAACAGTTTAACGTAAAATTTGCATGTTCGCATCCGTTATTTTATAAACGTAGCCTAACTTGTACCTTGTTGTGATTTGATTTGTGTTGTCTGTTGTTCATGGTCAGGGACAGAGGATTTGCTGTTTTTACTATTTATTGAACACTCCATATTCACTTGAACACAACAAAAATAATAAAATAAACAATAAACATAACATAACCTATTATTCCACGGCGTTATTTTTAGACGTTATTCGAAATAGCGCTTAACGTAAATGCTGGGTAAATTACGTTATGCGGTAACGTTATTTTAGTACGTAGTGTTAAAAATCGAATCGCGCATAGGTTTAATGTCAAAATAACGTAAGCGCTAATACTGCATGACACTTTTTGGGTTACCGATATCTCTCTATTGTCTAATTACGTTATGCGGTAACGTTATTTTAGTACGTAGTGTTAAAAATCGAATCGCGCATAGGTTTAATGTCAAAATAACCTTTTTCCTACAGCCGTGCGGAAAAATCGATTTTCCGCACTGATATGCGTGCGGAAAATGAGTTTTCCCGCACGGTGCGGTAAAATTTTTTTTTTGACATATCAGTGCGGAAAAAGTTTTTCCGCACGGCTGTCAGTGCGGAAAAAATTTTACCGCACTGATATGTCAAAAAAAAAAAGAAAAATTTTACATTTTTTCGCCTGTAGGAAAAATATTGTACCTAACACTTGCGGAAAATATTTTTCCGCACGCGGCTGCCGTTCACCGAACGACGCGTAGCGGAGTTCGGTGATGCAGCAAATTCATTTTCCGCACTTGTTAGGTAAATAGCAATTTCGTCAATTTGCTTCGAATTTTTGACAGGCACGTGATTGGATAAGATAGTTTCAATTTACAAATCACATGCCTGTCAAAATTTCGGAGCAAATCGACGAAAAAGATGACAAAAACGAACTCGCTCCCTGGAGTTAAAACCAACCCAGAGGTAAATCGCTAATGAAACCGACCCTAAGTGGCGCGGCACCCAGTGACAGACATTTGACGTCGATAACGAAGACAAAAGTAAAAAAGCGCTGCTACCATGTTAGTAGTATTTTAATAGTTTTCGCAATATAATTCCTATATTTTCAGTAGAAAAACTAAAATTTAGGTTGGTTGAAAATTTTCTAGTTTTCTGGGGGGGGGTAATTACCCCCATTACCCCCCCCCGTATATGCGCCCCTGACAGCAGATAGGCAAGATAGTGACAGAACCGAAGGTAGCCGATCGTGGATACACTGCCCAAGCTAGTCTCAGTCCACCTAATATTTTAATGATTATTTATTTGAAAATATCTAATAACTCATTAGCTTTGTTCGCGGGTCCGATTCCGAATCGGTTCAGGGACTATTCGCATGTGCAGTGTAAAAAGAGGCGTTCGCGGATGATAAAATTCTGAATTTTTAGTAACAGTTCTACGTTCGCGGATCACATAGAATTGGTTTTAATTGATTCGGAATCGGTTCTAGCAGTCCCAGGATTTTTGTTAGGACTAAAAGTTCGGTTCGGCTGATCATGCACAATTTCGTCAGACTTGTCAGCTGACTGGTGTTTATTTTTGTTTGCGTTATTGAAATTTGGGTTTTTTAATTGTTTATACGCTGAAGCGATAAACTATACGCTAGTTTTTTCCTACGGAGTTTATGTTTTTTACTGAATTTGCTGTACAGTATTGTAAGTTACTTATCTCTATTTAATCTAATATATTTATTAATATGCACAATTTTAGTGATTTTTTTTCATCTAAGTACCTACTAGTCGGACCATTTGTCATCTAACGATGAGGACAAGGCAGAATTAGAGCTTGATTAAGTTCCTAAAAGCAATGTAATTAAAGTGATGCCATATTTCAGAGATGAACAATGTATAGATCATTTTTGAATTTTGAATAAATATAAATATTATATCTGTTCTGTTATTCTTTTTGATTTATGGAAATCGAATAGCTAATAAGGTTCACAAATCACATAATGTTAAAAGTATTCAGTTTTTGGTTCCAAAATCGTTCACGGTAAAAAAAATCCTGAACCGATTCTTAACTAGGCATGCGCTCTACGACAATCCCGAATTAGTTCTGAACCAATTCGGAATCGGACCCGCGAACAAAGCTATTAGGATGATTAAGGACTTTTTTTGGGTATTGTAGAATTGATCAAACGCCTAACCTTGGCCTAAGAAAATCGAAAGCAGCAGAGAATGAGTAACTCCTAGCAGATGAAATTAAAAATTTGCCGTAGTTCTTGAACCATGGGATTGTACATCAAAGTTAGGGTGGTTTTAAGTTGCTATGTTGGTGGGTAATACCCGCCTACCCTTGGTTTGGCCTCGCAGGCCGTAGGGGATGAAATATGATTTTTTTTAATTCCTAAGCAGATAGACCAGAAATAAATTCGTAATTCTAAAACCATGAGATTGTACCTACACCAAAGTGAGGGTAGTTTTTAGTTGCTATGTGGGTGGGTGATAACCGCCTACCATTGGTTAGGACTTGCAGGCCGTAAGGGATGAGATATGATTTTTTAAATTCCTAGCAGATGGAACAGAAATACATTCGTAATTTTAAAACCATGAGATTGTACACCATTGTGAGGGTGGTTTTTGGTTACTATGTGGATGGATAATAATCGCCAACCATTGGTTTGGACTCGCAGGCCGCAGGGGATGGAATATGATTTTTTTGATTCCTAGCAGATGAAACCGAAATAAATTTGTAATTCTAAAAATGAAATTGTACACCAATGTGAAGGTGGTTTTTAGTTGTTATGTGTGTGCGTAATAACCTGCTACCATTGGTTCGGACTCGCAGGCCGTAGGCGATGAGAGATGATTTTTTTGATTCCTAGCAGATGAAACCGAAATAAATTCGTAATTCTAAAACCATGAGATTGTACACCAAAGTGACAGTGGTTTTTAGTTGCCATGTTGGTAAGTAATAACCGCCCACCGTTGGATTAGACTCGCAGGCCGTAGGGGATGAGACATGATTTTTTTTTAATTCCTAGCAGTTGAAACAGAAATAAATTCGTAATTTCAAAACCATGAGATTGTACATCCATGTGAGGCTGGTTTTCAGTTGCTATGTGGGTGGGTTATAACCGCCTAACCATTGGTTTGGACTCGCAAATAGTAGAGGATGAAATATGATTTTTTGATTCCTAGCAGAAGGAACCACCGGCGTATCCAGCCCATGCGCCTGGGGGGGGGGGGTAATCAACTCAGGCCAGCTCGCCGGAGGCGAATTTTTTTTTACGGGGTGCCACGCCCAAAATCGTTTACTTTGATGAGCCTTCAAAACATTTCTTTTCTACGAAAGTGGGGAAAATTAAACAGTGCGGAAAATCGATTTTATCGCACGGTGCGGAGAATTTTTTTCCGCATGGCTGTCAAAAAAAAATCAATTTATTACAAATTATGTAGGTATGTACTTATTTCCGCACGTCTGTAGAAAAACTATTGTACCTTAACCTTACACATGCTGAATATCTGTTTTCCGCACTCGGCTGCTTCACCAAATTCCTCTACGCTTCTTTTTGTGAACGACAGACTCATGCGGAAAAATTTATTTTCCGCATTTGTTAGGTAAATATATTCTGTACTACCAACAAATAACGAAACCGATCTCTGATAGCGAATTCCATTGAAAGGGTTAGTGCGCAATGAGTGTACTCGTATCTTTTTCTACCAGCTTATATAATAAAGAGATAAAATAGTATATTAAAATACAAGTTGCAGAAGGCCACATATTCCCGAGAATAGCCTTGTGCAACGTTTTATACTTTTTTATACTATTTTCTCGATTTTGGATTTTATTTTTCATTTTTTAATTTTTTTTTGTGAACGCTGTTAGTTGGGGATTTTTTTATTTTCAAAATATGTCAGTTGGTGACACTTTCTTACCAACCAACTGACAGGTGGATTCTATCATTTTAGAAGGTTTGACAATTTTGAAGGTACCAACAGGTATACTTTGGAAACTAAATGTCACTAAAAATTGTTGAAGAATGAGCTTCATTCTCTAACGATTTTGCGTGCGGGAATAATGACATTCT